TTTATTTAAATAATATTTTTACCTAAATGTATGATTTTATTTTATTTAGACTTTATTTAAATAAAAAAAATTGAATGATCAAATAACTTAAAAATCCCTTGTCATATAAGCATGATGTGGCAATATTTTGCCATCCAAGTAGCCAACCGGGTGTGTCCCAAACGGCAGGAAAGCCAGGCGACAGAGTCCCAAACGGCAGTTAAGTTGGTGTAAGAAGAAGGGCTTAATTGCTTTGATCCCAAAGTTCAAGGGCTTATATGCATCAATTAAAGTCCAGAGGCTTAATAGCGATTCTGAGGTTAGTTGAGGGGCTTAACTTCTGGTTTTGCCAAAATAATTCTAGCTCTGGCACTGATCCTGTGGAGCAGCTTCTGTGGAGTCATTACTTCTTTTTCGCCCTTTTGATAAATGAATGGACTGGAGAGTCATTTCAATTGGCTGCGCATTTCCATGAAGGGGTGTCTCTGGTTTTGGATGGATAAATTTATTATTATTATTTTATCTCAATTAAATTTAATTAAATTAATTTAATTAATGCATATTAAACTTTTAATTTAATCCCTCAATTATTATACAAATCATTGAACAGATCATTGAGTTGGTTCTTGAATTAAAAAATTTTTTGATTTAATTTATAAAATTTGTGAATTTGGTTCTAAGTTAGTTTTTTTATTTAAAAATAATTGATGTATTTTGTTATTAGCATGATACATGGTTGTTAAAGAATGATTTATTGTCGAATGCATATGTTCATTGTTCTTTAATAAAAGGATTAATTTGAAATCAAATTTAAAAGTTTTAAAAACCAAATTAAAAATTATTTTTCAAATTTAAGAGCTAATTTAAAAGCTAATACAATAGTTAAGAGATTAAATTAGAAATTCAACCATTAATAATATTATCACTAAACTAATTTAACTATTATTAAATTGGATTGGTTGAAATTCGATATACCGGTTTTGTCCTAACAAAAAAAAATATTTTTGAGTTTAATTGTATTTCTTTTTTTGTGAATTTTAATAATATAAAAATAAACGTAAAATTAAATAATTTATAATAAGTAAAAGTATCATATAACATAATTTTAAAATTATGATATATAAAAAATTAAGAGTATAAAAATAAAAAAATTCTTCTTTTAATTAATTCTTTTAAAATCAGTGCACATTAGTTGGATATAAATAAGCTTACAAACTAAACCAATTTACTTGGTTTTTAATTTTTATATAAATTAATTAGATTTGTTCGAATGTGAACACTCCTATTTCCATGGGCTGGAGTCACTACCCCTTTTTGTCCTTTTGATAAATGTCACCGACTGTGGAGTCATTTCTACGGGTTGTTGTCCAACATGTCCCGCCACGTTTTAGCTGAATATTGCCAGTCCACCCGGGCTGTTAGGGTGAGTCATTTTCTCCTCTTGAGAAATATATGGACGGTAGGGAAATGTTATCTTTATTAACAAAAATATTAAGATTATTAAAATTATAAAATGTTATTTTTAAAAATATTAATTTAATTTAATTAATAAAAATAATTAATGATTATAATTAATAATTAATAAAATAATTTATAGTTATTATATAATAAATTAAAATTAATTAATTAATTAATATTTTTAAATATTATTTAAAAAACTTTAAATATTATTAATATACTTAATATTTTTCTATACATATGAAAAGAAAACAAATTAATTAACTAATAGCAGAGAAAAGCAGCACCCATCATATCCCTTTCTAAGAAAATATTTCAATATAGGAGGAGGAGAATTATGGACAATAGTTCCAACCGGCAAGCTGTTCCCAATTTCCAGGTAAGAAATCTGTACCAAAAAATTCTCATCACGCGGTGTGTATGTGGAAAAGTAATAAAATCAAACTCATGACGGAGCCTTCTAATGTCTAATACATTGATTGTTAGACGCTGCCAATAACCACCCCTAAATTATGGAGCCGTTTTTATGGACTGTTGTTTAGGAAGTCCTGTCACGTGCCAGAGTTAGTCTATGAATTGTTATGGATCGTTATCGTTACGTGCTGGTTGAAGTCATAGTCTATCGTAATGGGCTGTTCTTTAATAAGTCTCACCACCTGCTTGGAGTCTTGGTCTGGCACGTTGTTATCCTTGGTATCGGTGGTGGTCAGCTAAGGGGCCTGAGTTTTCAAAACTTAAAAGTTTGGTCCTTAAATTTTATTTTATTATTTTTATTTTAAATATTTTATTATGATCTCATTTACTTTTCATTATTTAATGTTACTTTTAAGTAATAATAAAAAAAGATGAGGAAAATATAAATAATAAAAATGAAAGAAATATAACTTAATTAAATAAAAAATTAGTTAATATAATCTTTTTACAAAATATTTATTAAAAAAATTTTAATTTTCTTTTTTTTAATAGTATTTATTTATTTATTATATATGTTCATTTTATCTTTC